ATGTAGGACTTGTGTAAATTAATTTTCCTATCCACTAATCAGGCATGAATTTGAACATAGCTCAGCGAATAGTATTGCAGATACCAGTATGATTGATATTTTTTTAAAGGAAATAAAATATCGCATGGAAAAATAATTAATAATCCATTAAAATGTTTAGTAACAAATATGTTTTTGAAGGGTTGAAAGGACCAATGACAGAGACATTATATCCTATTAACAGCTTTTTAAAAAATATTATTTGTTATTAGTCAAGGTGAATACAAAATTTGACCCAGAAATTTTTCTACGTAAGCAATCATATGAAAGAAAAATAAATATATTTGAAATTTATTTGATTTTTCATTGTGTTGTTGTATTCACACAAATGCGTTTTATTATGATGGGGAAGATTAATTGATCAACAAAAATGATTTACATTTAGTACTATGAATATTTTTCCTTCTCCTTGTTTGAAATTACCCCAAAACGAGTTAGTCGTAAAACACTTCATAATCAAACCTTTCAATTCCAATCTTATTTCAAAAAGATTTGTAACTCAAAATTCTTAGATGATTTCTGCGATTACTTTACCCAGCTGTGTCATAAACGGTTTGACTTGGATGTTCGGGTTTTGATTTTCCGATCGTTTATGGTCGTTTGGTATTATCACGGACAATATTGTCGTGTTGCGTTATTTCCACTCCTTTATGATGCAGACAAGTTGTTCCTGACATGTAGTCTGGTGACTATCATATGAATCCCTGTGGAGCTTCTGGAAAAATGGTTATCAGAGAATTTGGTCTTTATCCTGTTTTTGTATCTGTTGGAATATGAATAGAACTATTTTGGGAATTTGTGATGTGACGCGATTTGATAAATGTGGGACACACGTAATTTCAGACACCATTAGTAATAAAAAAGCGAAGCATCCCCTCACAAAGAGCATATCTCTAAATCAAGACAACTTTCGACATTGATGCCGATGCAAATTACGTCACTTTTAAATCAAAAAATTGTATTAAAATAAACAAAAGAAAAACTTGCTACTTTTCAACTCTATATACAAACGGATCATTCCCTAGACGTCATCGATCGACAGCTGCTTTTTTTAATGAAATTGAAACTCACAAATTTACTTAACTTGTCATTGGTAGGGTCATTTGCAAAATTATTTTGTTATAAACATTTTGATTGTACACACAAGTATTAGTACTCTGAAGTTGATATTAAAAAAGTGCTTGAGTGTCTGATTGACAATGCCTGTATCTACGTAGTTTTGGAGACTTGGTTTTCCAGCAAAATGGAATTCTCATGGGAACCATTTGCGCCCCGTCATTAGCAGACCTAATTCATATATTCATATGAAGCAGAACATATCGATTCGACATATCACGGTGAGCTTGCAATAAAAGAAACATATACTACTGAGTCTGACAGATCTGTTTCATATCTGGATATTTTACTAGAAAAAACTTTAATGGTTAATATCTAAAAAACCAAGCTTTATGATAAATGTAATGACTAAATTTTCGATCGTCAACTCCCCTTTCTTATACAGTATACCTTTATCACCTACAGGGTTTATATACTAAATATGAAAAACATTTAGCTCACCTGAGCCGAAGGCTCAAGTAAGCTTTTCTGATCACATTTTGTCCGTCGTCCGTCTGTAAACTTTTCACATTTTCGACTTCTTCTCAAGAACCAATATGCCAATTTTGACCAAACTTGGTACAAAGCATCCTTGGGTAAAGGGGGGAATTGTTAAAATTGTTAAATTGTTAAAATGAAGGGCCAATTCCTCCCACAAGGGGAGATAATCAAGAAAAGACAAAAATAGGGTGGAGTCATTAAAAAATCATCTTCTCAAGAACCACTGGGCCCGGAAAGCTGAAACTTATTTGGAAGCATCCTTGGGTAGTGTACATATTTAATTCTTAAAATCATGACCCCCGGGGGTAGGGCGGGGCCACAAAACACAACAATGACTCCAAATGGTACTGTTTACAGCAATAATGACCTAGGAATCATTGCACGTGGGATATAATGACCCGGTCATTATATTTAATGACCGCTAAATGATGACCTCTTAATCAAAAATCCCTTTTTGAGTGAATTAAATGCATAAAATAATAATTATTCGAGAAAACAACATGTTTTTTAAAATGTGCAATGTCTGTTTTGCATATAAACCATACAGAGAACGGCAAACTTAAACGGTTTACTCATTTTAAAATATCGTTTCAATTCAGTTCTGGAATATAGAAGCGGCTCTGTAAAGAGTTGAATTCTGTGCTAGATTTTGACTGCGTAGAGGAAAAGTAATCATTAGTTATAACAATGTATGTCGCTATCCACCAAATATAATTTTAATCAGTAAATCATGATGCAAAAACTTACACGACTTGCAGACGTCAATGTAAACAACTTCACTATACGGAGAGTAGCGAATCCCGATCCCGATCAAAGAAAGAATTGATAACGGTCACAGATTCATACTTTTCAACATATATCGGTATAATAAAACAATTGATTACCCCTTTTGAGTTCAACATGGTGAAATAAGGACCCTCGACCTGGCCCACTCGATTAACAGCCCACACCACGGCCGCTAACCGGCCAAGGTCACGTAACGTCACCTCGTGGGCCAGGTCGAGGGTCCTTATTTCACCATGCTGACCTCAAAAGGGGTAATTAATTGTAAAATGTATAGAACAAATCACTTTAAAAATCTTCTCAAGAACCACCGGGCCAGGAAAGCTGAAACTTACGTGGAAGCATCCTTAGGTAATGTACATATTAAATTGTTAAAATCATGACCCCGGGGGTAGGGCGGGGCCAGAATAGCAAATCCAAGTTTTACATAGAAATATATAGAACAAATCTTTAAAAATCTTCTTCTCAAAAACCACTGGGCTAGGAAAGCTGAAACTTGTGTGGAAGCATCCTGGGGTAGTGTAGATATTAAACTGTTAAAATCATGACCCCAGGGGTAGGGCGGGTCCACAATAGGGAATCCAAGATTTACATAAAAATATAAAGAACAAATCTTTTAAAATCTTCTCCTCAAGAACCACTGGGCCAGGAAGGCTGAAACTTATGTGGAAGCATCTTGGTTAGTGTAGATATAAAATTGTAACCAGAAGTCTCTGTCGAGACTGTAGCTCTACTGGTTTGTACTTATAACAAAGGACGAGAAAAGAAGCCATTGCCATCAGACCAAAACTGTAGAAGGAGTAGCGTTTTAAAGGAATTTCACAGACATTTCTATTTTTAGTAACAATGGCAACACTATTCATTGAAATGAAATACCAATGCAATATTTTATGTATCTTAGTGTAGTCTACTTGTGCGCCAAGTTATATTGAAATCAGACCAAAATTGTAGGAGTAGTGTTTTAAAGGAATTTCACAGAAAATTCTATTTTTAGTAACCATGGCAACACCGTTCATTGAAATCAAAATCCGATGCACAATTTTATGTATCTTAGCGTACTCTACTTGTGTGCCAAGTAATATTGAAATCAGATCAAACTGTAGAAGGAGTAGCGTTTTAAAGGAATATTAATGAAAATATTATTTTTAGTAACCATGGCTACACCGTTCATCGAAATCAAAAACCGATGCACTATTTTATGTATCTTAGTGTAGTCTACTTGTGTGCCAAGTAATATTGAAATCAGACCAAAACTGTAGAAGGAGTAGTGTTTTAAAGGAATTTTGTAGAAAATTCTATTTTTAGTAACCATGGCAACACCGTTCATCGAAATCAAAAACCGATGCACTATTTCATGTATCTTGGTGTAGTCTACTTGTGTGCCAAGTAATAATGAAATCAGACCAAAACTGTAGAAGGAGTAGCGTTTTAAAGGAATATTAAAGAAATTCTATTTTTAGTAACCATGGCAACACCGTTCATCGAAATCAAAAACCGATGCACTATTTTATATATCTTAGTGTAGTCTACTTGTGTGCCAAGTAATACTGAAATCAGACCAAAACTGTTGAAGGAGTAGCGTTTTAAAGGAATTTCACAGAAAAATTATATTTTTAGTAACCATGGCAACATCGTTCATCAAAATCAAAAACCGATGCACTATTTGATGGATCTTAGTGCAGTCTTCTTGTGTGCCTAGTTATATTAAAATCAGACCAAAGCTGTAGGAGGAGTAGCGTTTTGAATAATTGTTTACAGACAGACGGACAGACAGACAGACGGACGGACGACTGAACACCTTACTATCGCATAAGCTCTTCTGGTCTCCGACCGGTAGAGCTAAAAATCATGACCCCCGGGGTTGGGGCATGGCCACAATAGGGAATCCAAGTTTTACATAGAAATGTAAAGAACAAATCTTTAAAAAACCTTCTTCTCAAGAACCACTGGGCCAGGAAAGCTGAAACTTATGTGGAAGCATTCTTGGGTTGTGTAGATATTAAATTGTTAAAATCATGACCCCCGGGGATAGGTAGGGGCCACAATAGGGAATCCAAGTTTTACATAGAAATGTATAGAACAAATCTTTAAAAATCTTCTTCTCAAGAACCACCGGTCCAGGAAAGCTGAAACTTATGTGGAAAGCATCCTGGGGTAGTGTAGATTCCAAATTATTAAAACCATGAAAGGGGAGGGGTAGGGGGCACGATAGGTATAGCAAGAGGGGAAATCTGGTAAAGAACCGCATCACCCAAGTTACTCAGGTGAGCGATGTGGCCCATGGGCCTCTTGTTTTAAAGATGCGCTCTATGTGTGTAAATATATATTGTGTATTTCGTAATTTATCAAGGGAATTAAAAGGAAATAGTGATGCGCAGCACAATTAAGGTTACAAAAAGGAGACGGAGCCTAATTTGTACGGGAAAACTTGACTATGACATCATACACAATATACGTCATACAACATTTCTTTAAAATACCACAAAATGAGTTTATTTGCTATTTTAACCAGTAAGACATCGTCCAACTACATAAAAACTTACTACAGCGTGTTGTTTCGTCTTTAGTTAAGGTGTCCATTGTACAATTAGGTTGTAATTTTCGGTAAACTTCGGATTGATCTCGGTAGTTTACGGAATAAAATGCTTTTTCAGTTCAAGTCAATATCAAAGGCCAAAAGTCGAATATTTTTGTTTCAATTGATAGATAATTAAAGAAAACAACAAGATGATAACAAATTTGTCGTTTAAATACGTTTAAATGTATATCTTTTGAAATAAAACGATGTCTCCAAGACTATAAAATTCAAGATGGCGGCGCCCATGTAAAGTCGGACTGGGAAGGAACGGTTCAAGAAAAGGCATAATTTGACGCGTGCCTAGTTGCTTTAGAAGATCGTACTTGTGAAATAACCTTATTTGTGATTCCATGCATGTTTGTGAGGAATGCTGTTATGGTATGACCCTAATTTTAACCAGTAAGAGACTAAGAGTTCGTAATATGACTCAAAGGAGGGTCATCGAGTTTGATGTTCATTGCCTCAAATTGTGTTCACAATGTCACTTCGGACCATTATTCTCTTGCAAGAGAGCAATTAAATTTGAGTGAAACTCGGGTTAGGTGGTACATACAGTGCGGAAATTGCTTGCAGTTGCCATCGATGTTCCCAAAAGCTGAGAAAATCCAAAGGGATGCAGAACTTCAGTGTCAATACTCAATACACAGATTGTAACAGGTAAGTATTTATATTTATATTTGTTTATGGAATTTATGTTATCTAATTTAGGCATTGACAACTAGTATAAAATATAATTTAGGCATTGACAACTAGTATAAAACATTATTGGAGCTCAATTCCTCATCTAAATTTTCATCTGAAACCATGACATTTTGGTCAAGGCATATAATTTATAAATAGGATTTACATGAACCCGGGTCCCCTCAAACTCCAGTCAGGTGCTCTACCAACTGAGCTATCTGGCCACCGGCGGTCGATCCCGGCTGACCGCCACACATCTAAATAATTGCATGTAATATAATTGTATCTATCCTTTTTGTAGCTATAATCTACAGTTCATTGTGGGAAACCCTCAGAAGATAAACAACTTGTCGTCAACATTAAATCTACAATTAATACATGAAAGGATTTTGAAGGTATGAACAGTTTTATTATATCATTTAGTAGATACATATATTTTAAATTTGGTGGCTCTAAAATCAAATGTTTATTCGTCAATTTGCTGGAAAATCAGTGTAAGAAAAATATTTGACTACATGCAGTAGACTACCCCCGGGTATAGGTTATCATGTTCGAGGGAATAATCTCTCTACTGCAAACTTTTACTGAATCACATGCACATTATTAATCTGTATGAAACAATCATCTGTAGTACAAATATATTTCTCATTTTCAGCAGGTGTTCAATGCTGAAAAATCAAAGAACTATGGGTATTTGTGTGTGCTGATTGGTAAAGTTTCATCAAGAGGAGTCTGGCAGAGACGATGGCACTTTCTCATCTAAAGCTGATCTATAGCTATAACAGAGATGGTGAAAATAGATTAATTTATGTTTTCTCCCAAAACCAGTGATGGCAAACCTAGAGTGACTGGAACATCTAAAGTTCTACAAAATATTGTCCCAAAGTTGTGTGAATTTTTTGCTGCCACATAAATTTATCAATTGTATCTAAACAAGTTGGTCTGTTTTATGGATCCTCTACTAGTATAACACATACCTTATGAGCTTACTGTCAGAGTCCTTATAGTATCTACATTTATATTTCAAGTAATCTTGAAATTTATTTTCTAAGTCATTCTGTATCGAATGTTTATCACTCTGCTTTGATACAATTTACTGTTGCTATCAATTTTTTTACCTCAGTATTTCTGTTTAAATTTTTTTTTTATTCTTTTGTGTACATTTTTAAATTCTAGACATAATTATAAATTCACATTTGCAGAACTTCAAACCATTTTCATTTATATAAATCAATTTTGTACATTGAGTTATGAGATTCATTCATAATTTTTGACTTGCAAGAAAAGTAAAAAAAAAAAAGTGTTCAAATAATTGAAGGGAAAAGTGTTTTGACTTTTCTAATGTATATTGTGTAATGTGTAATTATAAAAATTTTCTCTTTCAAAATGTTAATGCTCCATGGTAAAAGCATGTTGCAAATGACATTATGAACTTGAACGTTTATTTTTACAAAAAGACCATTTTGTAATTTTTTTAATAACACTCTGACCAATATGTTTTATTATTTAATATTCTTTAATTTTATATAAAGATTACAATATAAAAAAAAATTTTGTGTCATTATTATGGAATAAACTTCTTAGATACCAATTTATGTGATTTTCCTTAGATTTTAGTTTTCATCAAGAGTTATCTTCCTTAAATGAGTTGTTGCCCCTGATGACCCAATTTTTTAATTTGTCATGACCCATACTTTGATTTTAGAACATTAAATCATAGGGTTTCCAGGCATAAAATTTTACCCATTTGTACAATGGATACCTTAAATTCCACATTTCAATATGACGTCATTTCTAACAACGTGACGTAGTTTGTATGCAGTGAGAGACAGATCAAGTAATATTTTCTCAACAAAATATGTATTCTCTAATTAAATAAAATATTATTTACAGATATTCTATGGGCCAATAACTTGAATTTAATGTCTTCTTCACTATTTTATCAATATATTTTCTGTACATTACGTATTTAATTGACACTGCCGTATATTTGTATGCAAGTACACCGGAGGGTATTGTGGGGGTCTTAATGAATCGATCTAGTGCAAGGGCATACACTCTATGGATCATAGTAAGCTTTTAAATTTCAACTCTAGAACTATTAAGGTATCTGAAAAGTGCTGCAATCCTGATGAAATCTTAAAAACAATTTAATTATATCAATATTTCATGCCACCGACCAGCAAAAAATATAACATTCGGTCATACAAATATAATTTTAATAATAAAATTGCAGAATTTAGACAGGATCGCAGCACTTTTTAGAAACTACAATGTGTGTTGAAAATACTCATATAATAAACTTGGAAATTAAACTTGGTTATGCCCTTGCACTAGTGGTATTCATATGGAACATCAATACTGCAAGTCAATGTACTAAATTCGCGTGACTGCCGTATCACGTGACTTGTCTAAATATAAAATATATTCGTCCTCGATATGTAGTTATTAATCATAATTACAATTATCCGATATAAATAATGTACTAAAATTACTCGCCATTCCGATTACAAATACATTTTTAAATACAAAATTTAGTCGATATTTCCATTGCGCACCTTAACTGTGCTGCGTGTAGAATCTTTTAAATGTATATATAGCTAGCCTTTAATTGTGAATAACTTCTCCCACCTCAATACCCATACACCAAAACTTAAACTTATATATATACATGTACTGTGGAGCAGTCCGGTCATCCGGACTGCAATGACATTATTAGAATGAAAAAAAATAAATGATTCTTATATGCATTTTTATAACAATTTGCAGATTCAATAATTCCTCAGATTCGAGATTTTTTTCTTCATTGCAATGAACTGCATGTACTATAATTCCAATTATTTTGATCAGAAGTAGGTCATGCATGCTAAGTCTTAGTATTATCAGACAAATCTTAGTAGATAATCTTTTCCTACAATTAATTATAAGCCATTCTTATGTCATTTATAATCCTCCTCATACTGGAGACATTATCTTAATACATTTTTCGCGTTTTGTCCCATCGTTACAGGACTAAAAATCTATAATGATAATAATAATTCATCGCTGGTAGAACAGTTTATCATATTCAGTTTACGGATTCACTGTTTCTTAGTCGTTTTTGTCCTCCTTTCAGTGCTTACTAGCATAGACATAAACATCACAGCGTCATTTTATTCCGCATTTTTTAGCATCTCAGATTATTTTTCGATTATCATCGCAGTGATTTATTTGCCGAAGACCTCCAAACGAATGTTCCCAGTTCACGAGAGAAAACAGTACTCCCAAAAATCTTCAATCATAAGTAACACTGAAAATAATTGTAATAGGATGTGTAAACTTGTTATTTACGATCAATTTAGCCTTGGTTGGTGTGATGTAGGCTGTGTGAAAGTGTTTTTGTTATTTATCAGTTTTACCTGATATTAACCTTTCAATTTTTTTTTATAATAAAAAAATATTATTTTATATTATTGAATTAAAAAAATGGGAAAATTAACCTTTCAATTATTTTATTTTTAAAAAAAAATTATTATTATCTTATGATGTTAAATTAAAAAAAAAAAGAACTGGTAAAAAAATGAACTGAACAGCTGGACCCACATTCGGACTTTGAACCCTTTTCTTGTACGTATTTCATTACATTCAGTAACAAAACGGGGTTTGTTAGCATCTACATAAATGCACTAAAGTAACTTTTCTTGTATTTTGTAGAGGGCAATGTGTGCATAAACAATTCATTATTCTTTTCCCTTATACCCTTGTGTATTGAATTAGATATAAATCTGGAAATATATTGTGTACGATGACATTAACATGGATTATGGTATTGACTATGATTGCTCGGTATTCTATGAAGTCGTCCGAATATATTTTCCTGTAGATTTTATGTTCTTGTTCGTCATTTTTTTTTTATTTATTTCTATAGATGTTGCTGATATCTATGCTGCCTTAAGATCACATACGCTACATCTATTGATGTATCTTCATGTAGGATTATCCACATACACCCAAAAAGAAATAATTGTTCAATTTCAATAAATGTAGTATGAAGTTTCTATTAATTGTTCGTGAAAGATATGGTTTCGATTGGTAAAAGAAATTGTTTTGGTAAGAAAACTGTAATTGAATATACATTGTCGAAAGACTTCATAGTCATAATGATTTAAGACTGGAAATTTATTACCCTGAAATAAATCCTTAAATCAAATGTCTGTACTTTTTCCAACAATTATTATTGATTAACTGATCTGAACTTGATGATGGATATTTTCTATGAAAATATATATTTTCATTCACGTACAATATCATAAAATCTATTTTTCCCTAAATCACTAGTAATAAAATTTTTTTGATTACAGCAAAACTCGGTTAGTACGAACACGGATATTGCGAATTTACGGATATAGCGAAGTCATCTTGGATCCCCAGCTATATAAATTTAATGAATTTCTTATACGGTTATAACGAATTACGGATATAGCGAAGTAATTTCATAGGTCCCAGTGACTTCGTTATAACCGAGTTTTGCTGTAGTTCCAAATTAAAATATATTTCATGTAATTAGATTTGATTTTTAAGGAATGCCTAAGTGTTTAGACTTCACTGATATTCCTGCAATTTTAAAATTAGAAATTGCTCATTATCAATCTTCATTGGTGAAAAATAGTGCCTGGTTTTTTTGGAAGACATACATTTGCGTACATGTTTTCTCAGCTGATTTACGTAAAACTTAGAAATGTGTCATCCGAAAGACTTATTTCACGAGTGAAATAAAACACTCCTTTTTTGTCAAAACAAATGTTACTCTAAAATGAGTGATTTCAGAAGTGGTTTCAGATGGTCAGTACACTATCATTCGAGATTTTTTTTCAACGTCACTAAACCAACATGACACGGAAGAAGTACGTATGCATCAACTGAACCAGTGTGGCTCGGTTCGATCCAAATTCCACTGGGTAAAAAAAAAATTACATTATATCCCACAATATTGGTCACCTCCATCGTCAAAGGAATAATGCCTTTCATCATGTTATCATTTCCAAGCATTCCAAGTAATTACACTGTTAATGGGTCGGGTGTGAAAATCCAACAATATCAGAACGTCTTTTTCCCGGGAGAATCAGACACCGATGCAAATTACATCACACTCTTCGTAAACGGAAGTCCAACGCTCAATAATCAAAGCTTGTTATGTTGAATAGAAAAATTATGTCACACTCTCTCGTTTACTGACTTTGACTAATCGAACACTGTTGACAAACTCGGTACATGCATATGTTAATTAGCTTGTATGCTTTGCAATCAGAAGTAAATAAATTAATATAGAGTTTAAGTTTACAAAAAGGTTCTTCCCTAAAGTTTCGTCGGGTAAAACTGTCGTAGTTAAAAGAAAAAAATGGTGGACAGGTGCTTTCGTATAAGTTTTTTAGGTAATAAATAAATGGAAGAAAAAAAGTACCCTGTAAAACTAATTACGTTTGGATATTTTACTTGAAAAAGCCGTTAATGGTAATCTAAAAACCAAACATGGCAAGGAGCACACGGCAGGTGTGACCGGTAGGCAGGAGATGCTCACTCCTCCATGGCACCTGATCCCACCTCCGACGTTCGGAGGTTCGTGTTTTGCTCTGCTCTTATTCTGTATCGTTTTATGAAATTTTGAGCTTGAATACTATTAGTTATCTCCATATATTCCATTTGTTTGTTTAACCTCTTACCAACATGCCATGTAAAGGGCATGTAATGCAAAAAGGCTTCCATCTTTCTCTGTCGGTAAAAATGTCTTTGACTACTTCATTAAGAAGAATTATTAATTTGACATTTAAAACGGCAAACTTAAAAAAGGAGGTAGAAAGCTTTCACGGAGTCTTAATCGGTTTTAATGCGCTAATCCCATTGTTGTATCTGACTGTAAAATATTGTACAGGTTTTTTGCATGATTCAGAAATTATACAATAAGTTATCTTTATTACAGCAATCAAAGAAGATTCGTTTTAGATACATATTGGCAATTAACAGTTACAATTACGTAAAATCCACTTAGAAATACACTAAGATCTAAAAATATCTATGTATAGTCGTAATAGAGAGATAAAATTGCCTTTTTACTTTTGTAGTCACTTAAAGACATGTTTCCATTCCAAAGAATTATGTAATTATGGTATAAATCTGAGATACAATCAATTTTCCGGGATTTATGTTTGGCTTTATAATTTGACCGGAGCTGAATAAGTCATGAAATTGTCATAAAAAATTAAATT